CAGGGGACAAAAAATGTCATGCCCTGTGTGGTGGAAGAGTGTGTGTGGAGTGTGTGCATGCGTGTGGAGGGGAGATCACCACATGGGTCTTCAAGTGTGACTCCCAGCCATGAATTTCAAGTACTTTACATGACTTTTTCCAGTGTTTGTCATCTCTCCTTGAGAAGGAGAAAACCCCTCGCGTTCAGGTTTCTGCTGCTGAAGGAGTCGGGCTGTTTGTCACTATCGATGAGGACAGCCGCTGCTGCTGACACCGGTGCAGCGACCGAGGCATTCGTTCGTTAGCATTAATTTGTGATTTTTCCAAGTGTTGAAGCAAGAGGTGAGAGGAACTAGGAAGTGTGAAAGCCGAATAGTTCTGTGCCATCAACACCCTGAACCACTGAAAATGGTGTAAAGAATTCACCCTAATAAAAAATACTTTTAGAGAAAGGGTGTTTTTTGCAGAAGTCAGGAACACGAGATGTTGTTCATCTGTCTCAAAAGCAACAGAAAACTGACATTTCTTAAGATATCATTTAAATGGACCGAGTTGAACCAGTTACACCACAAGCTTTCCCAAAGCTGCTAAGTAAATGATTGATTACTCACAAAGAAAGTTCCTGTGACATGAATCTCACTGAAATGAACACTTCACTTATGAAGCCTCTCCAAGAATCTTGAAGCACTCAGTGAACTTTCACAGACATCATTTGGGAAGTGATTTCCACCCCTATTTTACAAAGAAATTACAGATTAATCTGTTTGTTCCTACTGAGAAGTGGGAGTAGATGTGAAATATTTTATCTTCAAGAGTAAAACATATGGCCCTCTCATTATCTGTCCCATGAATTTGCCCCAGGATCCCTTTTGGGATAAAATGCTTTTTTTTCCTACCTGATCCCAGCCTGAATGCTGCCTCAGCTGCTAGTTTCTGCCTTTAAGAAACTCACTAAAGGGTGATGGCAGTAATGCCAAGGTCAGAAGTGGCAATGCAAAGTTCTCTACTTTGCTCTTAATAGATTGTCCTACACTGTAGATCGTACAGCAGATTAACCATCTGGAAGGTTTTCTGTTTACTTCTTTTAAAGCATACAAATGCATAGATAACTGAATGATCAGGGCATTCAGTACAAACATATACAGAGATCTATGGGCTGATTCAGTTTTGCCCACGTACCAAAATTGATCAGATATCAAACAGCTAATCAGCAGGTGACTGGCTTGCATTTTCTGGAGGTTACATTGCAGAAGAACAAAAGGGCTATTTAACAAAATATCAAAACTTTGTTAAGTTTTAGCATGGAATTCATACTCGGTACTGCTCTGCTCTAGCTGTGCCGTGATGCAATACAGAAATGCTCCTGGGTTGCATTGATGAAGTCACACAACAGGCTCGAAGTACAATATGAGCCCCCTATACTTTCCAAAGTTTCTCCTACTCTTTTTATCAGTGTATACAAATAGATTGAAAAGTCTGAAGCAACAATTTCCAGGACACTGAGCTCTTAAGGGCACATTCAGGCTCTTTCATATGACTTGTGACTGTTACTCTTTCAGAAAGAAATACTTTCGAAGTGCCAAAAGAACAAGCTCTATCCTGAGAAAACTCAGAATGCTGAATTCTTCCCTGGGACAGGAGGGCATTTAAGCTGCAAGGCTTCTCCTGCAAGGGTTATATTTGGGGGAAAAAAGAGAAAGACTGAGCAGACACAAGCAAAACAAGCAGGTAGGAAATCATCTCTGTAGCAGAAAGAGCTGAAGGTTGTCTTTTTCATGTGGTAAGCACTCTTATCAGCCCAAACTGCGCTTTTCTAAACCTTCAAAATCCTGGTGTACTTACGCAATACATATGCAAGTGCACATTCATGCATGACCAGGGAAGAACAGACAGTCTAAGCAAAACAGACAGCAATAAAGAAATCTGCAAAAGAGCTCTGCAGAAGTGGTGAAGCAAACGGAGATAGGAGAACTTGCTGCTCTGCATGGGGATGCTGATTTCATTCTGATTGCACATAGTACCAAGCAGCTGCTGAGACCGCACAGGATACCGAATGGAATATAGCTTTTATCTGTTAATTTGCCTTTTGTCAGCTGTTTGAGCTAATTTCCATAGTCAAAAAAAAAAACGTGCGGTCGAGGTAGTTTCAGGGAGGGATAGACTTGAGGAAATACATTCAGCTTTTAGAGCAATCACTGCTGATTCTTCTTCCTTTGATTTCTGTTGCTTCTCCCTCCTCCCTTGTGACACCTCATCTCTCCCCTTGCTCTCTTGCACACTTCCATAGCAAGGGCCAAACACTGACATCTCCCAATTCCTCCATGGGCTTCTCCGATTTTCCTGTTTCCCTTACTCAGTTGTTGATTACCTAATAATCCAGAAATAGTGTCAGGGAGCAGCAAGAGCTGGGGTGTTCCAAGAGGGAGGACAAGCCAGGAGCCAGCAGAGACCACAGCACATGTAGTTACACCCCCAGCCAGGGCACAGTCCCACTGTACCCAAAGCAGAGGTGAGGGAGTAACTGTGACAGGGCCCTTCAACAGCCCCAGGCAAGGTAAAGTACCAAGCTGTACCAGAGAGCCCACCTGGACAGCAGGAAACAGAGCTGGAGGCAAGGCTACAGCACAGGTCGAAGGTCCATCCAGAAAGCACAGCCAGGGATAGGATGAGGCTACCTACAACAGAGGTCCAAGAAAACCCACCAGTAAGCCAGGATAGTAGGGACCAGCCACAGGCCTGGGTGCCCAGAGACAGGGCTTGATGTGGCTCCTGGATGAGAGTCCCAGGTAAGAGCTGTTATATCTGTTCTCAAGCCCTGACAGATAGTTAAGCATTATGCTGAAGCAGAACAAAGTTTTAGGTTTAGGTCTCCAATGAGTGGAAAGTCAATGGAGATGTGCCTCAAAAGACAGTAGCATGGCTTTGCAGTTTTTAGGCCAATCTCCTTTTGCAGGTTGTAGCAATGCTGTCCTTCCTAAGCAGTAGCTCTGCCCATGTGCATGTGACTCATAGATCTCAGGCTCTCAAGGTTTTGTTTTAGCCTCTGCTGCACTCTCCCAGTGTGATTTCAGACAAATTGCCTGCTTATTTCTGCTTGCTTAATGATAAAACAGATTAATTTCCTTATCCAATGTGGGCATCTGAGATAAGGCACAGTTATACAGTGCTGGCAAGGACCTTCCAGGTTTTTACAGACAGTCTTGGGAATGGGTGTTCCTCTCATAAACTGATCAACCTCCATCGTGAGGATAGTGAGAGATTTTCCCTTCCTTTGTCCTTTGGAAAGGGTGTTCAGTGGCCCTAGTGATTGACTGATACTTACTTTGAAAGTCCTGCTCAAATTGATGGACAGTCCAGTTTACAGGCACTTTTTTTTTTTTCTTTTTTGCCAAATGATGCGAAAGTTTTGGACACTTAATAAAGGTGCACCTGCTTGTCTCTCACCTAACCAAGGAGCACAATCAGTAGGACTCAACATTTCATGGTCTTTCCTGATGTGAAGTTATGATTGCCACGTTGTGGTTACCCTGAAAGATGCTCAGGTAGTTCTGTTGTTCATCCATCTGTCTGCCTTCCCCACACACCCCCAAGAAGAATCTGAGCTTAGTTAGGTATGCCTGAACGGTCAGGGTTTGTTAGCAATGCCTGCAGCAACTTCTTGTGAATCACAGCTACTGATTCAACAGAACGGGATGCTGATGTGGATGTGATTTTGTAACAGTCAATACAAACAGGAAACTTAAGGAAGTGTAACAACAAACATTTTTTTATTAGAGAGCAATGGCCAAGCCGTTCAGGAGGAATTAATTTTCAGGATTTGGCTACAGAAGAGCTCTACAATCTCATTGCCTTCCCCATGCCCAGCAGCGTTTTGGTTTTGTTGGTTTTTTTTTGTTTTTTTGGGTTTTTTTGTTTTTTTTCTGGAGGAGACTTCAGCAGATGCTTTCCATCCTTTGGTCTTTGAAGCTGGGTTCCCTCTAGTGGCATTAAGAGGAGCATCGATTCTGTCTTATTGACTGATCTTGGCCAGTAGTAGGGGCAGGGGGAAAGATGGAACTGCAGGGTGATACCAACTCTGATCAGGAAATACTGACTTGTGTGACTTCATCCAGCTAGTAGCCTAAGACTCTTGTGTACCACAGGTTCTTTATTTTTTCCATCAGCTGTTCAGCCAGTATACTGAGTTTAGTTGTTTCTCTGATGAGGAAGTTCCTGTGGGAGACGACAGCGTATGTGGTAAGATACACAAATACATGAGGGTAATCTCCATCTGCTGTAGTTATCACACTGCCTGTCACCGGGAGCGCAGAGCTCCTCAGCAGTCCTAGAGGGGCTTTCCTCAGAAGATGGGAATAGGAAGTATGTGTTTGCTGTGAGTTACACGAAACTGCATCTGTTGGGTCACTATGCTTTTTTTTGTTGGGAGAAAAGTCTTTCCCCTTCTTTGAGGAACGTGTATTTACAGCTAGAGCCAATTCTGTGATTTGCATTGAGTGACAGCAGTGTTTCCTGTCACCTTCAGCCCCCAGCCCCTTACAGACAGCACCGCAGCACCTGCTCAGCCCCTGCGAGGGGGCCTGATCCCCCACCAGCTAGTGGCCCCTTCCCTCGCTACCCATGTATAAAGAGCAGTACCTGCTATCCCCACGAGCATTGTCATGTTCAGTGTGCCTCCCTGGGAAGAGCTTGCACTTCCACGTGAAACCGTATCATCCTACCCCAGCTTTCCAGCACCCCACTCTCATTGTAGTCACATCAGGCTTTGGTTGCTGATTCATTTCCCCCTAGGTCTCCCTGTACAGGTACTTCATTAATCTGTTTTTTCTCGCACTCCTCCCTCTCCCTTTCCACCCACTAGCACTAGCACAGAAGAGCTTTCCATACCTGGTCCCAGCAATTACTGGAGTCTGAGCAGCATCCACCAAGAACTGCCCAACTCTAGGGGACATCTTGTTCACAGTTTCATAGATGTAAGCTGCAATTGCGTCAGGGATGACCAGCCAGTCGCGACGATCTCTCTCAAACACAGACTTTGAGTGCACTTCTGAGAAAGAGATGGCAAAAAACCATGAGACTTCTCCAGTCACTTGTGTCTCTGATATCTTCCCCTGGGTACAATGGGAAGCGACTTGATGTTCATAGCTCTGGCAGCATCCAGCAGCATCTCATCACTCATTTTTGGGCACCTAGGTCATAAGCCTTACGTGGCAGAGTATTTGCACCAGGTGTGGACAATTGTCATGCCAGGCCTTTACTAACTTGTTTCACGCTGCCAAGTGCCATATATTCATGGACTTGAACTGTGTTACGGCGCTTCAGTCCTACTTTATGGATGGGTTAGACTTCTCTAGGGCAAGTGAAAGCCTGTAGACCTGAGCTTTGTCTCAGGCAGACAGAAAAGCTTTTCAGACTTACCAGGGAGAGTGGTGCCAAGGAGCAGAATCAGAGCTATCACCAGTGCCCTGGATTGCAGCATGGTTTGCAGTACCTGTTCAGCTCTCTACACGAAGATAGCTGCTGGAATCAGCATACAATGTTTTGGGTTTTTTTCAGAGAAATAAAACATGTCAGTTAAACACTAGAGTTTTGTTGCAACAAACCTAACCAATAAATGAAGAAGAGAACAGGAAAGATCATGGCACATTTCCTCTGAAGATGTGAGGAAAAGATAGTACAAAAATGCAAGTGTCCTTTTATTTGTATAATCACAAACATCCACAATGAATGATAGCTTTCAGAGCTTCAAAAAATATGTGAAAGTTAAAGCTACTTTTATACGAGCACTAAAATTCCTTGGTTTAGCATATGAGCAAACCACTAAAACTGGCAGAGGTCGGAATAGGTTTCCAACACACATTAAGTACAGCTGAAAAATTAGTAATGTAGGCGTTCTTTTTCTTTGATTTTTTTTTTTTGGGGGGGGGGTTGTAAATTGCTCTAAAGAACCTTGTGCTAGCAAATGCATCACATACAATTATCATCTTAGTGACCTGAGTATTTTGTTATTTTGTCTTGCTCTAGTTGAGGAAAGACCCAACTGCTCAACTAGGTTTTCTTGTCTTTTCAACACTGTGATTAATGAAGCAGAAAGTAGCCCATGGAGAACAAGTTCTCAAAAGGGAGTAAGTGCAAACTTTAGCCTCATCCAGCCTCCTTTATTTTGTCTATTAAAAAAGTCAGAATTGGAGGAACTCTTGAAAATTTGGTACTTGGTATATTGAAAAGATGACAATACACCTACACAAGCTTTTCAAACATGCTGCACTTAACAAGGTGTTTAGAAGTTAAAATTCATTTATGCCCTGAATTAGAGGGCTGCATCATTCATAGCAATACGAATAAAACATTGCAGTGTTAGGAACTGCAATGGCAAAAAAAGGCTGCATGCCTATTACATGTGAATGCTTTGCTAAATCCTGTGCCAGGTAGCTGCAAGTCACTGCTCCTTCCTATCCCACAGTAAGAAAATTTCCATCCATTTTTATTTTGTTCTGTGCACAGGTTACCTCCAAAAGCTACCACTCCATCTTCATTAGAGATTTGCTGACCAGCAGCAGTTACTCCGCTGCCTTCCTTGATTTTTAATCCTAGAGCCAGGTTCTCCCTCTGTAGGCAAAAGGTATAAATTCGTTTCCCAAGAGCATGAAGTAGAGATCTTACCTGCTTTAGAGCCTATAGTCCCTGTGATGAAGGCAGCTGGGAAAAGGTTATGTGTCTTCCAACACTGAAACTCTGCAATTCCCTACCACGGGCTTGACCTGCCTATGAGCATCCATCACTCAGCTTCAGTCTAGGCCATCTCAAGCACTCCCACCCTCCTCAGTTTCAGCAATATTCTTGGCTATGGAGCGTGAGAAGGGCTCACACTTTTGTTTGCAATAAGAAATGGGTCAAAACAGAAGACCACCTCCACTCACTTCTGTATGTCCTAGATACACCAGTCACAAAGTCCATACTACCCAGAACAGAGAGTTCAGCTCTTACCTGTCCTGCTTTCCCTCTCTTTCTCGGGCTGAATCTGAGGTAGGTGCTCATCTGCGACACCCACATTTATGCAGAGCTAATATAGTGATAGCAAGGGGTCAAAGGTCCTGCTTTGTTTCTCCATTTGCTCTTTTGCAAGAAGATTCAGTTCAGCGGGACAGGCAAGAAGCTGTGGGGGACTCTGGACCTGTTACTGAGATTTGGTAATGGAAGGTCAGTCTGACCTGAATCTAAGAGACGTGGAAGGCAGCTCCAGGGTCACTGAGTCCCCTATTTTTGCAGGCAACCATGTCATAGAGGACCTTTTCATAAGTTGACCAAATTCCACATTAACAATAGCTATGGCTGGGCTGAATTTTGTTCCGTCTGTTCCTGTGGGAAGGCCTGTGCTGTAACCTCACTGCTCTGACAGCTGGAATTTATTTGTGGCTAACACACCCATTTGTATTTTACCCTCCATTTCTGACAATGCATTAGCCAAATGGTGCACAGGGGTAAGCATGCACCCCTCCCGTTCCTTCTTTCCCCATATCCAAGCCTTTTTGCACAGGGTGACAAGACATCTGAGCCAACTGTCAGAACTTGCCCAGGGGAAACATGCAGCTCTGGGGCCACCAGCACAAGGAAGACATGGACCTGTTGGAGCAGGTCCAAAGGAGGGCCATGAAAACGATCAGAGGGCTGGAACACCCCTCCTATGGAGAAAAGCTGAGAGAGTTGGGGTTGTTCAGCCTGGAGAAAAGGCTCTGGGGAGACCTTATTGTGGCCTGTCAATATATAAAAAGGAGGCTTATAAACAAAGACAGAGAAAGACTTTTTACCAAGGCACAGGACATAGGGGGAACAGTTTAAAACTGAAACAGGGTTGATTTAGATAGGATATAAGGAAGAAATAGTTTACGATGAGGGTGGTGAGACACTGGAACAGGTTGCCCAGAGAAGTTGTGTACACCCTATCATTGGAAGTGTTCAAGGTCAGGTTGGATGAGGCTTTAAGCAACCTGATCTAGTGGAAGGTGTCCCTGCCCAAAGTAGGGGCAGGGCAGATGAGACAGTCTTTAAAAGTCTCTTCCAACCCAAACCGTTCTATAATTCTATGCTAACTTCTCCCCAGGCTCCCCAGGGACCTGGTCCCAGTCGGAAAGTGACTGCATTGCTGCTGGAGGGTGTGTTTTCCCATAGCTCAAGCTCCAAGTCTAAGTGCCCATTCAGTCAGGCCAGCCATCTGTATTTGGCACGTGCAACCACTGAGTAGCAGGGGGAAGAGACAGAAAGGCTGCAACACTGAGCCACAAAGGGCATTAGCCAAGGGAAATGGGGAGGACATGAGGCATGAATTAAGCCTGCTGTGTGAGACCCAACAGACCTCTGCTCTTATGTCAGCCACTTATTTATTAGGTGACTGTCACATGTGGAAAGTGTGAAAAGCTCAATCAGTATCTTCATTTATCAACTAAAATTTTCTAGAAGATTTTTCTTCTCCTGGAGTTCAAAATACTTCAGAACCGAACAGTAAGCATTCTCTTTTTACACATACAGCAACTAAGTCAGTGATTGCTGCAGTGGGTCATATCATTAAAGAGGCCTGCCAACAGTTTCCTAGACATTTTTCCACTCTTTTGGTGAATAATTATTCAAATTATCTTCTTTATTAGAAAAACAAAGAAGTCTCCCAAAATATGAAGAAAAAGTCCAGCATACAAGCAAACCATTTTGCATTTTTGTCCAAAAAATAACACAAAATTCTTACTAATGAATAACAAGCTTAATTCCAGAAGTAAGAACAGAGGATTTTCAGTTCCACTTCGGGTGCAAACACTAAAAAGCGATTTATGATCTGGGAAGAACACACAAGAGCAACTGGTTGAAAGTTCTCTTATATTTTAATTACACATTTGACAGTCATTGAAGAGAATCTATACATTTACCATCTGCTTTTACAGCTGGAATAATATTCAGAAGACCAGTACAAGGCACATTATAGGCATTTAACTTATCAGAAATAGCAATGACCACTCATTGGAGTGGAGGTTGATTTAATATAACCTCAAGTGTCATGTCTCTTTTACGTCAGGTCAACAAATGAAACTCTCTAACCATATTAAGTGGGTGCCTTAAACTGATGTGCTGCTGGAGGTAGTAACACAGAGGGGACTTAGCTGCCTATATAGTAATACGTACTGCTGAAGAGCTTTGCATTGTGGTTGTTATCACACAGGGTAACATCCCCCACTCCCCCCCGCCAAAGTTAGCCTAACTTTAGCTAGTGCTATCATGAATACAATCCCAGAGATAGCAACTGGGCATTTCAGCACTTTCTACTGCCAAATAGGCACTTGCCAAGACCAGATCAATGATTGCACAAGAAGCAGCCATTGCCCTCCATTCCTGGAATGGCATTCCAGAGTGGCAGGGCGCTCTGCAAATAAGCAAGAAAGCCAGACATTGCAAGTCCTTTCTTAAGCAAAGAAAAAATTACATGATTTTTTTTAATCTCTCTTATGAATCTCTGGTCTGAGGTGGAAAGCAGCTGACAGGAGCAGCATGGGCGTCCTTATTTGCCCCATGTAGCATTGTTACTCATTACATTATTATTTTAAATTAGGGTAACTCCAGTGGCTATCAAGGCACTTTATCTGAGACAGAAAATTCATTCTTGGGGGTAAGGTATGTTCCTTTAACTGCATGACAGAAAGAACAAAGGTCTAGAATAGCAGTAACTCCCAAATGTGAAACATATTGAATTTTTTCCATCACAAATGGGCTGACATACGAACATCAGCTCTTCGGAATGGCTGAAAAATTAAGCATGAATAAATTACAACCTAGAAAGAATGAGGCTAGGCTATTTCCTACAGTTATTTCTTTCAGTGTGCAGTATTTGAGCTGCTCAATTCTCTCTCTTTTAAAAGAAGTCAAAGACCCCATAATCTTACTGGAAAAGAGTCCACATAGTATTGTGCAGTGCTGTCACAATGGCTTTCGTTTATAGCCAATTAAAAATAGAAATAAACTTATTCTAAGCCTAATAAGTTGTAAAGCATGCATATATAGATTTCTTTTGTAATTATTTCACAGCTGACCAACTGGTGTTTTATGAACTGCAGTGGTCTGTGGGCCAGTGAACATGGTAGCATTTCTGCTTCCCTGCTAATCTAATCTACTAATCTACTTCTGTCACAGTTTAAGAAGTTACAGAATTAAGACTGAGATACAATCAATTTTCCCTGAAGAGTTTTGTTTAATGTTTCTATAAATATGAACAAAGTGGCTGAAGAGGAACTCAAGTATGATAGAGATAAAACTCTTCAGACTTCACACAGCACAAATTGTGCAAATTCACACAATCTACAATTAGTCACCTTAGCTCAATTATGGGGACTAGAGGAACAAATAAAGATGGGGACCTCCTTCACAGGATTTAGATAAAAAAGCACAACCTCTGCAGTTAGTGTGCTCATACTACGCAGCAAGCTTCAACAGCTGCTACTGTTGCTCAAAGTCATC